GTAAATTTTGGTCAATGACATGAGACAAAGTATATGTGAACTGCTGTATGAAAAGTGAATTTACTCTGTAAATCTTCACCCAAATCAAAATAAAATTAACAAAATAAAATAAAATAAAGAAGTGAGAGGTAGGACAGGAATAGAGATATGCATATCCATGTTCATTGCAGCAGTGTTCATAATAGCAAAGAGATGGAAACAACTTAAGTGTCCATCAACGGAGGAATGATAACCAAACTGTGGTATACACACCCAATGGAATACTACTCAACACTAAAGAATAATCTAAAATGTGCAAAACACCACATAATGTGGATGAACTTGGCGGAGATTATGTTGAGTGAAATAAGTCAGTCACAGAAGGACAAATATTGTATTAGCCCAGTAGGGTAAAAAGTTAAGGAAAGATTTACATATGGAAGGAAACTTTCTTTGACGGTTACCAGTGAATGGGAGGGAAGAAGAGGAAAAATCCCTAGACAGGTTGAAAAAAACATATGAAATCAAAGATTATTAGTGGTACCAGAGGTAGGAGGGAGGGGGAAAGGGGAAGCATTGAGCTTATGCTAATGATAATATATTTTAGAAAAGGATAACAGTAATGTTGGCACAACATGAAAAATGTCATCAATGTCCCTGAGCTGTAAATATAGGAGTTGTTATGCTAGTGAATGTCTTGTGTGTGTTTTCGCCAGTAATAAAAAAAAAAAAAAAAAAAAAAAAAAGCTAAGGAAATAAGGTTCTTAACATCTTGAATCCTCAACTACACTACCTAGTAGAATGCAATTAAGTTATATGTATATATAGTAGCTTAATGGGTGCTCTAGTGGCATAGTGCCTAAGACATTTGACTGCTAACCAGAAGGCTGGCGGTTCAAACCCACCAGCCACTTCTTGGAAGGAAGATTGGGCAATCTACTTCTGTAGTGATACCGTCTCGGAAACCCAAGGAAGGGTCTCATTGAGTCAAATCAACCCAACAGCGCTGAGTTTGGTTTTTGTTTTATTAGCTTAATGTGTAGAATCTTATGCCCAAATCGCCATACTGATAACAAAGATATCCTATGTATATACACATAAATGGCCCGGATCTGTACAGTGGAATAAATTTCAGTTTGGTATATTGAGTTTGGAATAGCCAAGGAATACAGTCCCAAAAAACCAAACTCACTGCCATCAAGTCGAATCCGACTCATAGCGACCCCTCCTTGAGGTCTAACTGACAGTTGTTTTCACAGTTTTGGAGATTGGATTTGGAATTATCACCATGCAAGAGAAAGAGTTATGGGAGTGCAAAGGTTATTGTGAGAAGGATAATAGAGGCATCAGACACTTAGGATGGAACCCTGGGAAGCACCAATACTTAACAGGTAGCAAGTACAGGTAGAGAAGCCCAAGGAACACTATTAATGGCCAGAAAGAGAGGATGAAAACTTGAGAAGACAATTCACAACAGCCCAGGGAACAGAGTGTCACAAGAAGAGACTAGTTAACAGTGTTAAATACTGCTGAGAAGTCACATAAGACAAAGGTTAAAAGGTGTCTACTGGATTTTAAAAAAAAGAAATCAGTAGTATGTGATCTTTGTCAGAGCAGATTCAATGTTCTGTTAGAAACAATAGTCATGTGAGTGTTAAGGAAATAGTTCAATCTTATATACATGAGTATTTCCTTGGAAATACTGATATTTTTCTGGCTCGAATAGAGTTTTTCTTCTAAAAACAACAAAAGTGGGTATTTGTTGATTTGTACCAAAAGGAAAAAAAAAAATGACTTTTAGTATTTTCTCCCATAATTTTTTCTTAAATCATTAGTGCTGTTGTTTATTTTACCATTATAGCATGAGATGCTTTTGGATTTAGCAAACAATATATCCTTAGTTATTTTGGTTGACTATTAATAGAGTAATTATATAACAATCAGTGAGGGAAAAGATGTAGCAATCTGCTTCTGTACACATTACAACCTATGAAGCCCTATAGGACAGTTCTAGTTAGTCAAATAGGGCCACTATGAGTCGAAAATAGGTTTTCAACTCCACATACCTAACAACAACATAGTATTTAGTAGAAACAATATAACCCAAACAAAAAAACCTCTCTTACAACCCTCATTGGGTTTCCAAGGCTGCAAATCTTTAAAGAAGCAGACTCTCTCATCTTTCTTCTGCAGAACAGCTGATGGATTCAAACCACCAACCTTTTGGTTAGCAGCCAAAAGCCGTAACTACTACACCACCAGAGCGCCTTAAAAACAATATAGTAATATTGTTTTTGGTGTTTCTCAAAATTTATCAAGACTTCAAATACTACCTCCATCAAGTATGAGAACCACATATCCAGAAAATTTATTTTTTAATCACTCTCCTGTTTAACCTTTTCCACTCTCCAACAATACCTATCCTCTAGGCTGCAAGCAGATGTTTTTTGTCATACTGTAAACAGGTAGAACCCTAGCTTAAAGAAGTTTGGGAGACAAGGTGTCATCCCAGAGGAAAAGATGAAAACAACTTTGGATGTCATCTAACCCAGTGGTTTCCAAACCTGGCTGAGCATCAAAATGGACAACCTGGGAGTGCATTAAAAAGAGAATCCTGGGCCAGGCCCCAGTTCTAGATTCAGATTCAGGAGGTGTGGAATGGATCCTAGAACTCTGTACTTCAGTAAGTGGCTTACCCACTAAAAACCCACAGTCATCCATCAATTTGAAGTCATAGTGACTCTATAGGGTAGAGTCGACCTGTCCCATAGGGTTTCAAGGATGTAAATCTTTACCAAAGCAGATTGCCACATCTTTCTTCCGCAGGTCAGCTGGTGGGTTGGAACCTCTGACTTTCTGGTCAGCAGCCAATTGCTTAACCACTGCCCCATCAAGGCTCCAGTAAGTGGCATAATCCCCAAACCCACTCCCATCAAGCAGATTCAGACTCAGCAACCCCCATCAGGTTTCCAAGGCTGTAAATCTTCACTGACATAGATTGCATCACCTTCCTGTCATGGAGCAGCTGGTGGATTTGTACCGCCTACCTTTTGGTTATCAGTCCAATGCCTTAACCACAGCGCCACCAGACCTTCTTAATAAGTGGCTTATATGATCTAAATTATACTCCTCTGTGGCGCTTTTAGGAGGCCTGGTGGCGCAGTGGTTAAAGGGCTTGGCTACTAACCCACCAGCCGCTCTTCAAAAGAAAGATGAAATATGTGGCACTGTACTTCAGTAAAGATTTCAGTCTTGGAAACCGTAGGGGCGTAGGTATACTCTGTTCTAAAGGGTCTCTGTGAGTCAGAATCCACTGGCAATAGATTTGTTTCCGAAGTCTTCCAATTGTAAAGTCAGTTCTGAGTAGCGGTAGCTTGCCTACTCACTCAGATGCAGGACGTCAGCTACCCTTCCGCTAGGGGGCTGAGAGGACTGTTATTTTTCGGGTTTTTGGGGCTTAGAAGTTATGGTTTTACCCGCATTTCTGTCTCCGCAGGAGTCGCCTTGGGCAAGCGGTTCTGCAGACGCCACATGTGTCGTTCCCCACCCGGCTAGCCTCCTTTCAGTATCTCCTGGATGCCCATTTCGGAAAACTGGGTACCTCTTTTCCGCCTCTCGGGGCCTCTCTCCTGTTCCCACCCTCTTTCTTCTTCGCTCCTCCCTTTCCCCCTTCCTACAGGAGTCTTGGGGCGGAGCTTCGAAGGTCGCCCGCCCGCCCGCCCCTCCGCGCATGGAGGTTGCCGCCTGGGCGGTCCCGGAAGCCGACGGCTCCCAATCACGAAGCTGAATGATTGATCATGATTGGGTGATCGTGGCTGTGGCTCTGCCTGTGTTTTCCTAAATTCTTTGTATTGAGTCGGAGGAAGAGAACATGGCCTGGAAAAATGAGCACTTGCGGGAACTGCGGGGACCTCTGCACCCACCCAAGGACTCAGTGGAGGAAGACACTGACTATTTAAAAGAAGATGTGGAGGAGGATGAAGACCTAGTGTTTGTTGACGCCGAGGAGCTCTGCAGTGGGGGCGTAAAAGCCGGTTGCCTCCCGGGTCGCCTTCGTGGTGAGAACACACGCCTTACCCCGGGAGATAGGACTAGTGTTTCTCATACTGACCTTGCCTACAGCAAGGCTCCCAGTCACTGATAAGGCTTATCTTTAGGACAGCCTACCTGCTTCATCCTACTTAGATTTAAATGATATTAATAATAGTAATAGCAATGACTTTAATTGTGCATATACTGTATGTGTTAAGCTTGGGCTTTGCGTATATTATTTAATGTTCATGATCCTTTGAGGTAGTTTTACAATTGAGGAAATAATCATAGGAGGTTGTGTAGTCTTACGCAAGATCAGGCAGCTAGCTGGTGAATGTGGATTCTGTATTTACACCCAGAAAGCAGGGCCTTTAAACTTTAAACCTGTACTACCTGGAGTCAAATACGGGGATATTCTTCAGCAATTTAAAAGAGAGCACAAGGACAAACTCAACTAATTGTGCTGTTAACCTTGTGTAGTTTTCTGTACTCTAAAATAGTACTATTCGAGTTACAACAAGTAACACTTAGGACCATCCGCTTTTTTTGGGGGGGGCTACATCTTATCATAGGAGCTCTGGTAGCATAGTGGCTAAAGCACTTGACTGCTAACCAGAAGGCTGGCGGTTCAAACCCACCAGCCACTCCTCGGAAGGAAGGTTGGGCAATCCTACTTCCGTAGTGATACTGCCTCGGAAACCCAAGGAGGGGTCACTATGAGTCGAGGCCGACTCGACGGCACGTAACAACAACAACAACAACAACATCTTATCATTAGTAGTATGTACTACATGCAATGTCGCAGCGCTTAATTTGCTGCCGTTATCATTCTCATGGCAAAGACAAGTAAAGATCGGATTTATATAGATTCTGAAAATAAAAGGAAATAGTAATGAAAACAAAAAGTTTCTCAAAAATGTATTCAACTTAAGTCTGTACCAACTTACAGCAGAACAGAACCCCGTGGTAAGTCGGGCACTTCCTGTATACCTGTTATATGCACTTTGTAACTGATACTTAACAATTATTTTAGGGTTCAGACCAGTGCTGTCTGTAGAACTTTCTATGATGATGAAAGTGTTCTTTATCAGCTCTGCCGGACACACTAGCCACTAGTCGCATGCAGCTAGCGGGCACTTGAAATGTGACTGGTGCAACTGAGGAGCTAAACTTTGAAAGTGCAGGTTTGGACAGAAAGTTTTCAGGCATTTGTGTAGTGTTCATTTATTAGTTCTTACAAATTTTATTGACTGGCTACCGTGTTTCAAAGGATCCCTGATGGCACAATGGTTAAGCACTAAACTGGCAAAGGAAAGGTCATTGGTTTGAACCCCCTGGCATCTTCTTAGTAGAAAAAAATCTGGCATCGGCTGTCATAAAGATTACAGCCTTGGAAATCCTGAGGAGCAGTTCTACTGTGTACCATAAGATTGCTAGGATTTGAAATCTCGCAGCACACGGTAACAACAACTATGTTTAAGCAAGTGGATTGGTGTGCTACAATGAAGTTCCAGTCTTAATGGAGCTACAGTCTAGTGAGTAAATAGCCATTCTTAAAATAATCACTGAAGTATCTTTAATATTACTTAATGCTTAGAAGGAATAGTAACTAATGCTATGAAAGGTGATATATGTGAGAGTCATAGAAGGCTTTGCTGAGGAAGTGCTAATTAAGCTGAGGTCTATAGTATAGTGGATGTAAGGAGAACACTTAAGGCAGGTGGACCAGCTTGTGCAAAGGCCCTGTGGTAGGATGAAGTATGGCATTTTTAGGAACTGCAGGAAGGCCAGTATTGGTTGAGATCAGAAGAGCAGGTAGAGAATTGTGCTTAGAACAGGAAGAGCAGACATTTACTGTGTATTGTGCTCACTTGTTGGTTTACAAAAACATGAAACACGGTGCCCACCGTCAAGAGCTTCAATATAATAGAAATACACATGTAGGTAGAATACAGTGTTATAAGATATCTTAATAAATATCTGTACAAGTTGCTGTGGGGGCATTAAGAAGTGGTGTATATGATAAAACATTGGTGAAGGGGTTTTTAAATATCCTAAATTTCCTTTTTTTCCTTTTTTTAAAGTTTTAATTTTTGATGAAAACACTCAAGAGAGATGTGAAGTATTTGGACGTTTTCCATTAATGGGTCCTTGGTGGCGAGTGAAGGTACAAGTAAAGCCTGTGGGAAAGAGCTATCATACTCAGGGATTTCCTTCTTACTTTTTACAGTCTGATATGGCACCACCGAATCAAACACATATCTGTTCCCTTTTTCTTACGGAATGTAAGGCCCCTAGTGAGTTTGTAACTCAATTTTTAAAATGGGTAAATGAAGAATCAAGCTACAAAGACCTAAACTTTGAGAATATTAGAGAAATGTTAAGAACTTTCCAAAAGGAGAGTGAAAGGAAAAATAAAAAAAAATCAGCATTCAATGAACAGGAAGAAACATTACCGGATTGGGAGATCAGTCTTCCACTGGAGAGCACAAGTAAGTGATTTTATTATTGGGTTTTAGTGTAATTGGGATATTTATCACTCTAGTATCTTGGCATAATATTCTTAAATTAGTTTGATGGACATGTGTTCCTATCGCTTTTGGAGTATATCATTGACGTAAGAGCTAGGCTGAAAAAGGATATGATGTATATAAAAATGTGATTGTAAATGTCATGGAAAACCATTGAATGGATATAAACAGGGGAATGACAAGCTCAACTTGTGTTTTAGGAAGATCATCGTTAGGCACAACCCTGCCAGCTCTGTTTTAACAGAACTGTCTGCTTACCCCACACTTGTGTAGTGGAATGGGGTTGGGAAAACAACACATTTTGCCAATTGGTCTTAAATGCATTCCTGAGATTGTGAAGTGGACTCAACTGCTGTCTGCCTGGCTTCCTTCAGTTCCTTCAGTCTTCTACTCTTAGACAAATATTACACTTTCCAGCTATGTTTTCATTTTTATGAAGCTGCCAATAGTACTCTTGAAGTTGTAAGGATTTCATTTTACTTGGATCCACAATCAGTGCTCATGGTAACAGCAGTCAAGAAGTCAAACTACATATTGCATCAGGCAAATCTGCTGCAAATAGGAGCTCTGGTAGCATAGTGCCAAAGGCATTTGACTGCTAACCAGAAGGGTGGCAGTTCAAACCCACCTTGGAAGGAAGATTGGGCAATCTACTTCCGTAGTGATACTGCCTCGGAAACCCAAGGAGGGGTCACTATGAGTCAGATCCAACTTGATGACATATAACAACAACACAACAACATAGCAAAGGTGTTGCTTTGTGGAATATGGTACACATGATCCAAGCCATAGTACTTTTAGTTGCCTCATATTCATGTGAAAGCTGGACAGTAAATAAGACCAAAGAACTGATGCCTTTAATTTTGAAGAGTATTGAATATACCACGGGCTGCCGAAACAACAAACAGATTTCTTTTGGAAGAGGTATAGCCATAATGCTCCTTGGAAGCCAGGATGGTGAGACTTCATCTCACATACTTTGGACGTATCATCCGAAGGGACCAGTCCCTAGAGAAGGACATCATGCTTGGAAAAGTAGCGGGTCAGTGAAAAAGAGGAAAACCTTCAATGAGATGGATTGACACAGTGGCTACAACAGTAGGCTCAGATCCAGCAAAGTTATGAGCATGGTGCAGGACCGGGCAGCATTTCATTCTATTGTACATAGGGTCACTAGGAGTTGGAATCAACTTAATGGCACCTTACAACAACAGTGATCTTCTTTGCTAAATCCAGTGACAAGTTAATTATCAGCCCTCCTTCTGTGAGAAACATTTGACACAATGAGTTGCTGCCTCTTTAAAACACTTGTCTTCCACAGAACCACTCTGTTGGTTCTTATTTGACCCTACAGGCTTCTGCTTGTTGCCTTCCCTAGGTTTTACTTTTACCTCTAAGCATCCACATGTTCTAAGACTTAGTCCTTGTACCTCTTCTGTGTCATTCCTTACTCCCCAGGTAATCTCCTCCAGTCTCATGGCTTTTAGTACCACCTGTATGCAGAGACAGTATGCAGACATCTCTAGTTTGAATCTCTGTCCTAAACTGTGAGTAGGAATGCCAAGTTGCCTCCTCAGCCTCTCCAATAACATGGAGGTGAAGTGCCCAAAACAGAATTCATGATTTTGTCTAAACTTGTTTTTCCTCAGGATTTTGCCTCCCTAAAAAATGGCAGCTCTTCATGTTTTTCAGGTTAATATCCTTGGGGTTGTCTTTGACCTCTCTCTTCCCTTGTACCCACTTCCAGTCCATCTGCTAATATGGTTGGCTTCACCTTCAATATATATCCAGACTCTCAAAGTTCTCATCCCCTTTCCCACAACTTCCAGATGGCAACCACAATCATTTCCACCTGGATTTTACCTGTCATCTCCCAACTACTTCTTTTCAGCCCCTTCAGTTTATTCTTAGCATGGCAACCAGAGTGATCCTTTTAAATCATAAGTCAAATCATGTTACTCCTCTGCTCAAAATCTTTCAGTAACTTTCCATTACAGTCAGAGTAAAATTTAAAGTATTAGCTTTAAAGTAAAGCTTCGAGGGAATGTAAATAAAAAGTCAAGTAAAGGCTACAAGACCCTACCAGATCTGATTCCTCTTGCCTCCCTAACTGCATCTCTGATAGCGTCTCCCTTTGCTTATTTCACTTCAGCTACACTGGCGTCCTTGCTCTGCCCCTCCATAAAATGGTAATACACTTGGCACTCCCCTGCCCCTTCCTGCTTTTTCCCATTTTAAATGAGTAGATTTTATATTACTGCATTGCATTTTTCGCCAACTAATGTAGTGTCTATTTGCTTATTTGTTTGACTCTCTCACTAGAATCAACTCCATCAGGGCAAGGGCTTTGCTGTGTTCATAGTTGCATCATGAGTATCTAGAACCGTACCTGGAACATAACAAGCATTCAGTAAACGTGTTGAACTAATAAATGCTAGACTGTTGACAGTGGTAAGGAACATGGAGAAATAGCTCCTTCCATTGTCACAGAGGCAGGAGAAAAGGATGGGTACAGATACAACTAAATTTGTAAATAAGGTAGCAGAAAATTGTCATTAGAGGCAATGACCTTTATTTCTTCTTTGAGGGATAGGGTAACTGCTGCTTGAGGTTGATGAGGACGTGAAGGAGGACTGAGTAGTGGGTAGAAGTTTTTAAATAGTCCCTGTGAGGGAGGAGGGCAGGCCAGGATGTTGGAAGTGTAAGGTATTATGGGGGAGAATAAGGTGTTTTCAATTTAAAATTTGCTGTGAGCAGGTCTAGGGAGGATGATTTCCAGGAATGTGTTGGGGGTCATGGGACTAAGGAGTTCAGTACAGATGCTGGGGTGTTGGATGGGCCAGCTATATGGATAGTGGAGCCCCCCAGGGTTTGGAGTAGAGAGGAACACCTATGTGGCAAGGGGGTATGAAAGAGAGCAAGAAGTAACAGTCAACCGCGAGAGGTCGGAAGGGCATCATTTATGCAGGGAGAAAGCTCAGAAGGCAAGAACCCATAGGGGAGGACACACGGAGAAGGGAACTACAAGGAAGAAGTAGGAAGAGTGCTGTTACACTGTGGGGATTGCAACCAGTGTCACAAAACAAAATGCATGACTGTTGAACGGAAAATGAATTGGTTCTGTAAACTTTCACCCAAATCACAATAAAAAGTTAAAAAAAAAAAAAAGCTAGATGTATTAGGAGACAAGTAACATGGAAGGAATAAACAAAAATTCCAAAAACCAGGCAAGAAGTCTGCATCCATGTAGTAGGAGAGCAAATGCCACATGAATTTGAATGTATCACAAATAAATAACCTCTTTGAAACCAAAGACACATGGAAACAATTGGTCTAAGGGACTAGTAGACCATGTGATCCTCAGCCTATATGACCATGAGACCAGAAGGGCTAGATGGTGCCCGGCTACCACTGTCAACCACTCACAGGGGGATCAATGCAGGAGATCTTGGATAGAGTGGGAGAACAATGTGGACAAAAATTAAAAATCATTAAAAAATTAAAAAGACCATTTTGATAGAGCCTGCTGAGACCCCTCAGACTATGGCTCCTAGTTACTCTTCAGGTCTGGAACTGAACTCACTCCTGTGGCTTCCAGCCAAACAATAGGCATACAGGGTGAATATTTACATCAGGTAGATACACTACTTGGAGCTGTCAGTCGTGGGAGAACAGAAGGGTGGTGTTTGCACAGGGAGATAACTGAGGGGACAGGAGTGCATGGGAGGGAAGGACACAGGGAAGAGAGCTGTTACATTGTAGGGAGTTGCAGTCAATGTCATGAAACAAAATGTGTATGAACTACTGCATGGAAAATTAATTTGCTCTATAAACTTCACCCAAAACACAGTAAAAATTAAATGACCTCTGTGGATTTTGGGTTCCTTATCCATAATGTGAAAGGATTGGATGAGATGACTTTTAAGATCCTTTCAGCTTTAAAACTGTAGTTCTAAATTTTAGTATTAAACATAGGACCATCTCAGTACAAAAGGAATTATCATAATGTGATCAGTATTCTTGCTGGTTAAAGTAAATTCATTCATTCCTCTGATTTGGATTTCTTGAACTGGTTGTGCTAAAAAAGTCCTTCAGATCAGTTTGTCTGTGAGCTCATTTGTATGTTTTAATTTCTTTTCCTATATCATGTAGTTCCATTTAAAAATGTTATGAGAGCTTTGCAGTGTCCCAAAGTAATGGAATTCCTTCCAGTTCTTCTGCCTCGACACTTTAATCAGCTCATGAACTCAGATTCATTAATATTGGAAAAGATAGAAGAGATTTTGGGCACACATCCATGGAAACTTGGATTTCATAAAGTAAGTAAAGAGAGAGTTAATAACTAATGTCTACAATGTAAAAAAAAAATCAAGGACTAATGTACACAGTATTTAGAAATGTGGAGGTAAGCTTTTAAAAAAATAAAGAGTTGAAGGTGATTGCTGTTAGAAAGTACATGAAGGGGTAAGGGGGGAATTTGCTGGTTTTTGTGTTTTTTTTTGTAAACTTGGTGGTATTAGACATTTAAACAGTTACTTTGATAAAGTACGATTTTAATATAAAAGTTACACATATCTAAAAATCAGTGAAGTAATGACCATGAGACCAGAAGAAGTAAATGGTGCCTCGCTACCAGTGTCAACCACTTGGAAAGGGATCAGTGAAGAAGATCTGGATAGAGTGGGATAAAGATGTGAAACAAAACTCAAAATCATAAAAAAGACCAGGCTTGCTGGTCGATAGAGACTGGTGAAACTCCCAAGACTATGGCCCCTAGTCACCCTTTAGGCCTGGAATTGAACTCATTCCTGTGGCTTCCAGCCAAACAATAGACAGATGTAGAAGGTGAACATTTACACCAGGTAGGTACACTCCTTAGAACAATCACCCATGGGAAGGGCAGTATTTGCACAGGGAGATAGCTCAGAGGGCAGGAATGCATAGGAAAGAAGGACACAGGGAAAAGGTGACCATAGGGCAGAAGTGAGAAGAGAGCTGTTACATTATGGGGATTGTAATCAATGTCATGAAACACCAATTTTCTCTGTAAACTTTCACCCAAATCACAATGAAAAGTTTTAAAAAAGTTAATTATGTATTAGGTGCATAATTTTTTTTCTCAAAATTTAGTTGAAATACATGTGTTCTGGGAAGTAAAATGTTAGTAAGAAATAACATTGTTTTTATTGTAAGTCTAATATTTATCAGCATAATTTTTTATAAAGCTATTTGAACTTTATTTTCTTAAAGATAACCTACGAAGAATTGAACCTTTTACGATGTGAGGCAAATTGGACAGCCTTTTATCAGTGCAAGCCTCTTCTCCAGTTGATGACTGATGTAGAGAAGAATGCATTAATAATATATTCTAAACTGAAGCAGATATGTAGAGAACATGGGCACACTTGCATTGAAGAAGCTGAATTAACTTCTGAATTGTTGAACCAAATGTCTTTTCACGAAGCTTGGCAGTCACTGAAGTTTTTAAAAGACCTTGATATTGTGGTATGTGAGAAAGGCTGTGTGTTTCCTTATGACCTTTACCAGGCAGAAAGAGGGATTGCTGCTTCAATATACCACCTGATGGCAAGACCTCCGTGGCATCTACAGGTCAATGTAAAAAAGGTGCTTGCATCTCTTCATGCCCCCAAACCTGAGAATTCAGAAAGTGATGATGTATTGAATGAAAGTAAACTGGAGGAAACAAGATTAGAGAATTCTGTGCACATTTTGGACATACAAGACAATAGTGACCATAATGGTGAAAATGAACTTAATACAGAAATAAATGAAGTTCAACTGGATCAGGATCAAGTGACTGCCTTGGAAATGATATGTGCAAATGCTGTGACTGTCATAAGTGGGAAAGGTGGTTGTGGAAAGACCACAATTGTTAGCCGCCTTTTTAAGTATATAGAACAACAGGAAGAAAGAGAGGTGAAAAAAGCTTGTGAAGATTTTGAGCAAGACCAGGATGGATCAGAAGAATGGATGACATTTACTGAGCAAAGCCAGCTGGAAGCAGGCAAGGCTATAGAAGTTTTGCTGACAGCACCTACAGGGAAAGCAGCTGGCTTACTGCGACAGAAAACTGGTCTTCATGCTTACACGCTGTGTCAGGTAAAACCATTTACATTTTGTCTATGGATAAAATACTTGTCTTAAAGACAAACTTTATTTAAAGAATTTAAGCATTTTTTTTAATTTTAATTTCTTACTGATGATATTCAATAGGTGTTTATTGAGTGTCTGCTGGGTCTGTGCCTCATAGTAGCTAATAGTTTAGATCTGTGTTACTCGAGACAACCAGTCTGTAAACCATTACCATTTTGCTGTAAGAAAGGAGCTAGTGCTAGAAAGTAAATCGGTGCACTGCTTCCTTCACTGAGCAAGTCTTATGGGAAAAAAAGGCAGCTCAAATCATTAAGTGTGTACTTAATGATGTAGTTAAACTCTAGCACAAGCTCTGTTTCTCATTGGAACTGGTTATGAACATGTCATAGTCCACAGACTGCTCTGTGAGTAGCAGTGCAGATAGAAGGAAAATGTTTATACCTTTTAGGATGAAGCCTTCATGAGAGCAAAAACTTTGTTCATCTGGTTCAGTTCTTTATGTTCTCAACTTAGGACAGTGCCTAATAAATAGTAGGCACTTAATAAAAATTTCAAATGCATTTTAATATGCTTGAAGAAATCCTTTGGCTGGTATTTAGAGTCATGGAGCTTTAGACTTGTACAGAGTTGGAATGGTTCCTCTCTAGGCCTGACCTGCCATTTTATAGATAAATAAACTTGGTAATTGGAAGATTTATGAAGGATTTAATAATTGAATTGGACTTAAAGGACAGTAGGCTCAGGTGAAGAGAACATTTTATTTAAGGGAAAGGACTTTCCAAAGGCTGCAAGTAGAATGAGCATAGTGAGTATAGAGGATTTGGAGGTGATACCACTCATTGGAATGAAGGCTGAGTATTACAGAATAATTGGAATTAAAACTTACCTTGGATAGGGAATTTGAGCTTTAAAGTTCATAAAGTATTTTGACATTATCTCATTAAATCCTTGACAGTCCTGTGAAGTGGGTAAGTGATATTATCTCCATTTTCACAGAAGAGCCAGCTGAAGTTGGGGTGTTAAACTGTTTGCCCAGCGTCTCAGTTAAGTGAGGAACTAGTACGCAAATTCAGATTCTGACCTCTTGGCTTGCTACTCTTTTCATGGTGCCATATTTCTTTATTATACACCTTGAACTCCTAACAAAGAAGCTGAAACTTGATTTACAAGTGGTGACAGTCTTCTGATCAGTTCGTGACTTTTGCACTATACCTTCATGCCTGATTAGCCTGCAGGACTGAATTAGAAGGGGAAAGATCAGACAGGGATCATTACTAGGTTTCACTTCATGTGCCTCCTCTGACCAATTGGTACGCACGCACACACGCACGCACTGCCCTCGAGTCAGATGTGACTCAGTAACCTCTCCTTGGGTTTCTGAGACCTCTCCTTGGGTTTCTGAGGCGGTATCACTACAGAAGTAGATTGCCCAACCTTCCTTCTGAGGAGTGGCTGGTGGGTTTGAACCACAGCCTCCTAGTAAGCAGTCAAATGCCTTAGGTACTACGCATCAGAATATTTGCTTGGGATGTTGGGAGAACATTTCTGAAGCCATGTTAGGCTCAGGAGAGAATGCTAGGGTACATGAAAAGGACTGGGGTGGCACTTATACAACTTACCATCCTTCAGCTAAGTTTGCCATTTGTTTTGTGTGCATTGAGTCAATTCCAACTCATAGTGGCCCTGTGTGCCAGAGTAAAAGTGCCCCATAGGTTTTCCTAGGCTGCAGTCTTTATGGGAACAAATCTTCATGTCTTCTGCTGTGGAGAGGTGGGTGAGTAGCCTACTGCTTAAACCACTGAGCCACTATGGCTCCTTAAGATTGTCATTAGCAAATAAAAATATACAAATAATTTTTTAGTGTAAGTATGTCTCAAATATTGCATGGTATATACTTATACTAAAAACTACTTGTTGTTTATTTGCAAATTCAGATTTAACTGTTATGTGCTATTGAGTCGGACCCGACTCATAGTGACCCCCCCTTGGGTTTCCAAGGCAGTATCACTACGGAAGTAGATTGCCTCATCTTCTTTCCGAGGAGTGGCTAGTGGGTTTGAACTGCCAGCCTTCTGGTTAGCAGTCAAGTGCCTTAGGCACTATGCTACCTAGATGTCTTGTATTTTACCTGACCATCCTATCTTGAGCTGGTATGTAGGAGAACCAGGCCATAAAGCTGTTGGGATGATCTAGGTCCTCACAGATGTGGCCTGTACTGAATTGGTAGCAAGAGAAATTCAGTGGAAAGTATCAGTCAGGCACTTCTAAGATAACTAATTGAATATACAAAAAAAGCAACAATAAAAAATGATTGAAAATTGTTCTGTTGTGAGACAGGGTCACTGAGAGAATGGAGGATTTTGTTGAAGGGCATCAGTGCATCTGGGTGAGAGATATGAATGCCTTACTTACAGACATATTGAACCTAAACCCACTGCTGTCAAATTGATTCTGACTCATAATAAACCTATAGGACAGAGTAGAACGGCCCGATAGGGTTTCCAAGGTTGTAAATCTTTATGGAAGCAGACTGCCATGTCTTTCTCCCATGGAACAGCTGGTGGGTTTGACCCACCAACCTTCTGATTGGCAGTGAAGCGCTTAACCACTGCAAGAGCAGGGTTCCAGGTTGAATCTAGTTGCGGTAAAATAATTAAATAAAGATATATCATTTGTACATGCACATATATGCATCCTTATAACATAGAAAATTTCTGGAATGATGTACACCAAAATATTCTATTGTAATTTTATAAATAACATTTTCCTCATCTATGTTTTTAAAATAGTAACGTTTCCTCTACATAAATAGTTTTGTTACATGTTTTGTTATTGGTGGTGGTAGTTTGGGAGCAGATAAGAAAATCTAGAGAGAGAAAATAGTGTTTTCTTAGTTAGCTCTGGTGGCACAATCATTAAAGCACTCGGCTGCGAACCCAAAGTTGGTGGTTCAAATCCACCAGCCGTTCCTTGGGAGAAAGCTGAGGTAGTCTGCTTCCGTAAAGAGTTACAGCCTTGGAAACCCTGTGGACTAGCTCTACTCTGTCCTGTAAGTTGCTGTGAGTCAAAATTGATTTGATGGCAGTGAGTTTGGTTTTTGATTTTTAGTTAAGTTGGAAAGGCAGCCCTTTAATTATTTCTAGAATGGAGTATTATAGTTGGGAAAGGAAGAGAGCTTAAGTGACTGGAATATCTCAAAAGTCAAGGCTTATTTGGAAACAAAATGAAAGGCTTTCTCCTCTGGTCAAGAGTAATGAGAGCAGTGGAATTAGCACTATGTATGAAGCTTATGAAATAAACATACAAGTATTCATTGAAGTAGCCCTGGAAGTGCAGTAGTTAAGCATTCCCTGCTAACCAAAAGGTCCCCAGTTCAAACCCATCAGCCACTTCACAGGAAAAAGATGTGGCAGTCAGCTTCCTCAAAATTTACAGCCTTGGGAACAGCCTTGCTGTGAGACAGAATCTACTTAATGGCTAACAACAACAACGTCTCATTAGGAAGCAGCTTTTTAACTATTTCATTAAAAAAATTATTTAATCTGTCTTGTCTGTATATTCAGCACTATAACATCTTGTTCTCTACTTCCTTAACCTTTTCTCCATGTCTCTCCCTCCCCCATGAGATTTAAGGTTTTTGTTTTAGAATAACATGCTATTAAGATTTCTGTGCCAATTTTTAAACCTGAGTTTAGAAATACTTTGTTTGTAGGTCAGTTACAGCTTCTACTTATGGAAGAAAAATAATATGACAGAGGACAAACCATGGAAATTTTCTTCAATTCGAGTTCTGGTTGTGGATGAAGGGAGTTTGGTATCTGTAGGAATCTTCAGATCAGTTTTAAATTTATTGTGTGAGCACTCCAAACTTTCTAAGCTAATTATCCTTGGTAAGTTACAATATTACTGGAATTTTGATGTTTAGTTCAAAGCATTGTGGTTAAAAGGTAGTTTACATCACATTGAAGGTGAGAAGCCGTTTCTCAAAACTACATTGAGTTGGTTCTGACCACTCTTCTAATCAGCTTGTGTAGTTCTTTGTTTTGGCCTTGCTGGTAGAGGGTCAATGAAAAAGAAGAGTGGGCTCAAACACAGCAACAGTTGTGGCTGTGGCCCAGGACAGGGCAGTGTTCCCTTCTGTTATGCATTGGGTTGCTACGAGTCAGAACAACAGCAAAAGGATGTGAATGAAAAAGAGTTGTAAGGGGCTACTGCTAATCACCTGAAAGATGGCTGTTCAAACAATAAAATGTTACAGTCAGAGAAAGTCAACATGTAGATCACTTGGAAATTGTAAAAAGTCTGACTTACAGACCATTTAAGAAGAATTTTATTATTCTAAGCTAATAAATAGAAGCTCTGGTAGTGTAGTGCCTGAGGTACTTGACTGCTAACCAGAAGGCTGGCGGTTCAAACCCACCAGCCACTTCTTGGAAGGAAGGTTGGGCAATCTACTTCCGTAGTGATACCGCCTCAGAAATCCAAGGAGGGGTTGCTGTGAGTCGGTTCCGACTCCACAACACATAGCAACAACAACAACAAAGCTAATAAATCACATTAGACCTCATCAGTCTCTTAAATTCTTTTCAATTTGGGTAAGATTATGTTGAGTACTAGTGACCCGAAGACTATGATTTAATGGAAAAGAAATAAAATTTCGAGAATCAAATTATATATGAATGATATTTTTAAGTATTTGAGGATATTTTATAAGTAGTTGATTCTGTTAATGGCTTAAGCATTCTGTTAGTTGCCACCTAGTAAATATTGTTCTTATCTCTAGGGGTTTTTCATTTGTATTTTTAAAGTAAAAGATTTTTAATAGAGAAATACCTAATTACATAACTGGAATTTACTCATTATCTAATGCCTTTGGTTAGTTTAATCTATATTTTGCATGTCTATATTAAGCATTTAAAGCCATAGATTCTTCCATGCTTGGAAAGATACTGAACAAGAGTGAACAGGTGACTAAATACTATATATCCAAGGCCTGGTTTTTTTTTCAAGTTGGCTAAAAGATAATGTCCCTACACAGTTCACCTGTGGTTATAATATTTAAGAAGTTCCATTTAGATTTTGTTACTTGATTATATCTCACTGTTTTATTATGTCTTATACTGTTTGATTTGAATGTTATTTTTGGTAAATATTTTTATTGAGTTAAAATTCTTAAGTAAATTCAAATGAAAAATTTTTTGGCTATTTTTCTCTGTCAGAGTAAATTGTTATGATTGTAGTACGTAGGAGAAATAAAAATAATATTTAAATTTCAGGCATCCAATTCCTGAAACTTTCTATAACTCTTTTCCCTCTCCATTTTAGGTGATATTAGACAGTTACCCAGCATTGAGCCTGGCAACTTGCTGAAAGATCTTTTTGAGACTCTTAAATCAAGAAATTGTGCTATTGAGCTAAAGACAAACCATCGAGCAGAATCTCAGCTAATTGTGGACAATGCCACAAGGTATGACAAACCAAAGATTTTTAATTTTCTCTCTGTTGTATTAGAAATAAAAGGTTAAAAAAATGTTAGCTTTTTCTGCCATCTGTATGCAACAATGGGTCTCTCCTCGTCCAGAGCAAAGAAGAATGAGGAAAACCAAAAATTCATGGAAACAATTAGTCCTTGCGACTAGTACACCATCCGATCTGCAGCCTATATGACTATGAGACCAGAAGAACTAGGTGGTGCCTGGCTACCACTGTCAACCACTTGGAAGGGGA